ATATGAACAACATAAATTTTTTCTAAACTAAAATTATTTTAAGTCAGGTCTTAGTTTTGTAAGAAAATAGTAATAAAAGAAAAAGACTAGTAAGTGTGATTCTTGTCATCAGAAACTCTCATGAAACAGCCTCTTAAGGATATGTGTTTAACCTTAGGTAAAGGCAGACTTTTTTTACATGTGAAGCCAAATATTTAGGTAATGATAGAATAATATTTAAATAATATTAAATAGTAAAGGGTGGGAGCAGGGAGGGTGTTTTAAAAAGCATTAAATTGGCCACTGTAATCTGGAAATGCTGGTCAATGTAATGTCTACATTTAAATAGGAGAAGTCCATGTTACCTGTAATTGCAGTTTACAGATCTCTTTCTGAAGTTTGGAGTTCTTTCTAGAGTTTTGATGTACACCTAAGAGTTTTCTTTTCAAATCTTCAGATTTGAGTATTTTGTTTCATTTTGTTGCAGCAGCGGATCACTAAGTCTGCAGTCCTGCCAGGTTCTGGTCACTGAGTTCATTGTCAGTCACATCCCTGCCAGGCCTGTGCCGCTGCGTCAGAGTAGTCTGGGGTGTGAGTATGGTCTTGATGCAGAAGACAGTGAGTGTGAAGTGTGTGTGTGTGTGTGTGTGTTTAAAGCACACTTGAAATGTTAGTTTGAAGTTTTTCTGGTATATTTGTAAATGGTGAGACCTGAGTGGCCACGGGCTTGCTGCCAGCTGGCTGGCCATGATCAGCTGTATCCAGGGCTGTAAATATGCCTGCAGACCAGACACTGTGCACATGCTGCAGTTCCTGACTGTGGCGAGCCGAGTCAGGACGGTTGCAGGTTCAAGCCCAACCTAAGAAAGTTAGCAACTTACTGAGACCCTGTCTCAAAATAAAATAAAAAATAAAAATGACTAGGGATATAGCTCAGTGTAAAGGAGCTGGGTTTAATCCCCAGTACCAGAGTCAGTCAGTCAAATTTAAAAATCTATCCATCAGTTAACTTTTTAAAATCTTACATGTCACGGTGGCATTATCAACCTGACACTAACTTTCTGAACACGTTGCATAGCCTTTTCTAAATTCAACACAGTCACAAAATTAGTTTATTAGTTTGATGAAGTAACCTTCTTAAATGTATAAAGTAGCTTACAACTATATAATTTTAAGAAACATTAAACCAAGAGGAACAAAATACTGGATTTTAAGAGTAAGTGACTGAGAATGGACCATGAGCCTCTAATCTGAGAAAAATATTTTGAGATATTTGTGAATTCAGAAGTTTCTTATTTGCCTTCTCCTAGTGTTTACCTTAGTCCAGAATATTTAGCACTTGGCTTCTCGTAGTCTGTACCTTAAAATTTCTAAAGTGCATAATTTAAATGCCTTAAAAAAGCAGTGAAACAAGTTCTGATAAAAATGTTACTCATCAAATGCAAATGTCACACTTGATGGAATTTGAGCAGATTTGTATATAAACGTCAGAAATTTAGGCCATTTCCAGCATAATTTAAACAAACCCTGATATTCATAAAACAAGATATTTATGAAATGGTTTATGAAACAAGCAATTATATTTTCTTAGTTTACTTAATAATTTACTTTATATCAAAATAATTTGTGATAACTTGAGTATTAGCTTAATACATTAAACAGTTTATCCCTTGGTAGATGCAAACATGTATGAACTTCTATTATAAATGTTATTTGCCTAAGAAATCTGATTGTCCCATTTCTCTCTTAATTAAATTTCATGACAGGGTGAAAATGCTGTGAAATTTGATTTGATTTGATTTCAGATACATAATGACTATAAATTTTTAATCATGTTCAAATTACAAAATCAAATCCAACTATAAAATGTCTTCTGTAATCATATATTCACCACACATAGTACATGGATCCTAGAGATTCCTAGAAGAATTTGACTTCTAAGCCTATAACTGAATTTCCCAGAGTGTGTTTTGGAAATTCTAAGACAATTTTAACAAGAGGTTAACAGAGCATATGGGGGGCGGGGTAAGGCTTCTGTGAGCAAACTGTTGTTCCTCGTTGCAGGGATGTCGGGTTCTTGGGCATGCAGGGATTTTTTGTTTGTTTTTGCTGTGGTAGAGGAAATAAAACAAAAATCTGCCACCTCGTCACTTTCACTTATCGTCCTTTTGTAGAGTATACACAGGACAGCAGCGTTCAAAGAGACTTCAGTAACTTTACGATCTGTTCCTGACTGGCTTATACTGGTATCTCTAAGTTGGTTTTTATTCCAAGGATTAGAAAAGGTTGTGTTGGATGAAACCAAAAATACTATTTCTGCGTTATTTTCCTTACATAGAGAAAAGGACCAGCAAAGAAAAATTTACTTGCTGGTACAGAATTCTTTAAAATGGATTTCTTTATCAATAGGAGACTTTCCTCTCTAAGGATATTTTCTCTGAGTGTTTTCTTAAAGGAACTACTGTAGGTTACAGAAATGTAGAAAAAGAATCGAAGACACAAATGTAGAAAAGGGAAATAAGCCAAGAAAAGAAGCCTGTTTGGTCAGGGTTTGTCCCGTGGATTAGCCTGATAGGAAGAGTTTAAGTTAAAGTCAAAGTGAATTGAGCGGTGTGGTGGTTGCCAAGCTGGAGCGCTCCGCTGAGATCTCATTGGCAATCCCGCATGAGGCTGGAGGGGAGGGAATTAGAACTGGAGTTCCACTCAAAAGGAGTCACAGGGGTGTATCTCTGTCCTTGCATCTTGGCTGATGCAGAAAATATAGGTTAACACTGTTAGACCAGGTGGTCTGTTAAATACTTAGGACGTTGCATCAACTTTTCACCCTGTGTGGAGGAGGAGAAAGGCTCCTCCGCACACAGTATTGCAGCGGTGTGCCACAGGCCACGTCGAGAGGAAGCCTGCTCTGGAAGTGAGCGGCGTGGTAGCAGCAGAGGGTGCCAGTCCCAGTTCACATGCGGTTCAGAGTCTACAGTGTTTACTGTGGAGCCCTTTACAGGAAAGGTGTGCCAGCTACTGCCCACGGTCACCGTTACTACCTGGCGATCATGTAGAACCTGGTGTGTGTGCTGTGAGAGGCTGCCACCCAGCAGTTAGTCTAAATATTAGAAAGTGTGTGTGTGTGGGGGGAGGGTTGTGTGTGTGTGTGTGTGTGTGTGTGTGTGTGTGTGTGTGTGTTCAGATCTGTCAGTTGGTACTGTTCATACTTAGTTGTTACGGTAAATAGCAGCATGAAACTTTGTTTTGATAAACCTTCAAAACACCGTATTTTTAACTAATACCCTTTCATTACACATACTTTGATACTGGACTAGGTTTTTTTTTTTTTTTTTCTTTTGCTATTGAAAAAAATAAGTATATTTATTTGGGACTATCTCTTGAGGTACAAAGAATTCCAATGTGGTAATTTAATAAACTAATAGATACTTATGCTTGATTGTATTTCACATTTGTATCATGGAGACACTCACCTGATTTTATACATTGATTAATTTATATTAGCATGATATTAATGTTCTTCGCTATGCATTTGACATGGAATAAATTCATCAAGGTGTCATTAAAATTTTAATACTTTACTGACTACTATTGAATGGTTGATTTAAAAGTGATGGCATATTTAGAAGTCATAGGATATAAGGTCTTTATATGTACTTTTATCCAAAATTTTCTTATTTTTGAAATATTTTCTTCTTTTTTTATTTATGTTATCAACTTTCACTAAAAATGTGTTGCTAACAAAAATTACCTGGGATGCAGTGAGATTTTTTTTTCAGGGCAGAGAGTAATACTTAAAAAATTAAAACACTGAAAATTGAAATGCGGCTTAGGGGAGGACACTGTAACTTCTAATTATGCTGGTGCTTTTTTAGTTCCCTTTCCTTTACACTATTTTAAAAATCAGGTAAGTATTAACATACATACACTTTAATAGGCACACTGTTGTCTGGATATATTTGCTGCAGCTTTATGATTTTAAGCAAGGGGTGTGTATGTGAGCGTCTCCTTTCCTGCCTGCACACTCAGTGCTTTGGAAGTGACGTGGTGTTCTACATGGGTACCCATTGGAGCCTGCCAAGCTCATTTTTTCGAGTATATAAATATATGGCATATGATTGAAATTTTGTCTTGCTTAACAAAAGTCATAAATATACTTTGAAATTTTTAAGTATTTGCTAGGGTCTATTAATTTAGTTCTTACTCCAACAGAGACCCTCTTGATACCTATAACCAATTTGCTTTGAGGATATTGATCTCATTTTGCAATGGGCTTACCATTTCACCTTTTCACTACCTTACATTCTAACTCTCTTTTTCTGAATTGACTTTGGTAATGCTTTGTGCCATACTGGCATGATACATTACCAGGAGTATTGCTCAGAGAACGTCTTTCTTGATCCTAGTTCTAAAAGAATCAGGTTCAAAAGTTCCTGACATGTATGCTGAATTAACTTGCTTTAAAACAAGAACTAATTTTATGATTTTTTTTGAGATATGGTCTTGCTGTTTAGTCCAAGCTGGCCTTGAACTCACAATCCTGCCTCAGTCTCCTGATTGCTGGGATTATAGGCATGTGCCACAAAGCCTGGCTTGCGATAATTCTAAAATTACATTTGAAACCAGTTAGACTTACACCTTTACTACATACATAAATCAAATTATAATGAATTAAAAGCCAAAGTTCTCATATTACCATTGTCACATTTATTTCCTATCATATATATTCTTCTGGACATAAATGTTCCAGAAAGTGTTTCCTTTCTAGTTTGGAAAATTTGTTGTCTTCTTTTTAAATTCACTTAAATTTCATTCAGATTTAAATTATTTATATATTAATAATTATGTTTTTATTTACCAAATTGCACACTTTAAATGAATCTAAAACTAGACATTTGTTTTGTATATAGTACTTTAAATGAAAGTAATGTACAAACTAGCATTTCTTCTGTTATACATCCTGTAAGTAGGACTCAGAAATAAGGACTGAACATTAATATTATGGGTTTTTTTCTACTCGATAGGTGCTATGGATATAGAGGAGAGAAACCGCCAAATGAAAATTAACAAATACAAACAGGTAGCCGGATCAGATCCCAGACTGGAACAAGATTACCATTCGAAGGCAAGACATTTTTCTTTTTAAAGTTGTAAAATAATCAATCATATGAAACCGTTAGTTTTTTTTTTGCTCTGAATGTAGATTAGTCAAACAAAACATATAATGCATTGACCCCAGGTTATTATTAAGTGCTAAATTTTATAATGTGTCATATTACCCCTCTTAAGGGTAGACTGTGGCTTATTAAACAAAGAAAATCTATATTATTTTTTAATATATGAGATTAATGATCTGAACAAGACTTCAGGAATTTCTAATTTTGTAACACCTATAACCCCCCAACAGTTTTTAGGAAGAGCTTCTTTTGTGGTTTTCTTACAGATTTGTTTTATATTTTATAGAATTTTAATTGAATCTGATTTATTACTGAATTACTGGAGCAGATTCCTACCCATGAGGTGTTAGGTGTTCAAAAGACTTTCAGTAAGAATCTTTTTGAACTACCTTTTGCGAGTAAGATAAGGTATGAGTCCTAACAAAAGCAGAAATAGTATTCTTTCACTGCTCTTGCTCATCATTTAGATTTTCAAGACAAGTTTAAGTTCATGATGCTAGTGTATATCACGAGCGTCATGTATGAGTATTTCATGGTATATTTGCAATACTATTGTCAATGGAGAAGAGAGTCTCAGAAAATAAAGCCAGGGAAAACCAGGCTCTAGGAGCATAGCTCAGTGCTCACGTGATGCCCACATGTGGGAAGCCCTCAGTTGAATCCCTGAACCCAACCATGTGGCCATTAAAAATAGCAAACACTGAAGTAAACCCAGACCTGAAGTCTGCAAACAATGCCACGGTCTGAGCTTCTGCCCCCTGCCACACACGCGGGGTGTGCGTTTCAACCCCGAGCTTCCTCAGAGCCAGCAGAGGCAAATGAGTGCCCGCGCAGTGATAAAAGGTTCCGTGGAAGCAGCAGTAATCACACTGGTTATTTATGAACATTGATACTATCAGCATGGCTAGACTTCTGTGTCCCCAAAACAAGTTTGGATTCCACTATAGTGTATAGATAATTGAATGATTAAAACCTCATAGTTGTGGTGCAGTACCAATTATGCTATGCAAAAAATTTCCTAAGCATTTTCAAAAGTGGTGGTTTTCAAAGTGTAGTCTCAGAGCAGTAGCTCCTGTAGGTGCCTGAGAGTTTCCCAAGTGCAGCTCCTGTGCTCCCCACCTGCAGCCGGTGTCTCTGTCTTTTCCACCAACCCATCAGATGCTGCTGATGCAGACCGAGCCTAAGAAACACTGCTCTAAGGTAAACAGTGTAAAATTCACTGCGAGGTAACTCCACCTTCCTCAGTTAGATTTTTAACTAGAAGCCAAAAGTGAATAATGTTAGCAAAATATAAAGACTTTGAGAATAAATTGTCTGACATCTTTGTAAGGCCACTCATAGTTTTGACCAAATCCTGTTGGTCTATAACAAAAATACACCTGGTGCTGTTGGTGCTCATTCACAGAGGCACACGAAGAGGAAAGCAGTCTGGTTGCTATAGCTAGAATTGTGTAGTACAATCAAGTCGTTAAGATATAACTCTTTAACCAGGTCCAAACACAATCCTATTTCATACTACTACAAATTATTTCTATTCCTTTCTTTGAAAGAGGAAATGCCAATTACAGAGCCTATTGAGTGGTATGTTTTAATACCATAGGTCAAATCTCAAAACAAAGCAAAACCCATTTGACGCACAAGGGAACAGTTAAAAACCAGGGTAAGCCAGATGTGGTTGTGCACACCTCTACTCCCAGAACTCTGGAGTTGAGTGGGAGAACCATGAGTTCAAACTCAGCCAGGCAGTTTAGCAGCTCAGTGAGATCTGGTCTCAAAATTAAAATAAAAATTTTAAAGGGTCAAATGGAGGCTGGAGATGTAACTCACTCCAAAAGTTTTGTATTCAATGCCCAGTACCATCAAAAGAAAAAAACCCACACACAATAAAATGTTTACATAATTTACCCAAGTTCACATTTCTGTTAAGTCATGGCAAGTATTACTTACGGCTCCTAATCCAGTTTTTCAGAGTTGAACTAACAGAAGTAAATCCAGAGTCTTAGACATAAGCAACGTCCTCTGTACTGTTGAACTCTATTCCTAAAGTGAATTTCTTACAAGACTCTGTAGAATCTAGATGAATGTTACAAACTCTGATCTCAGAGCTTGTGGTTTTTTGGTTTGTCTCCCTCGAACTAAGCAGCAGTAGTTGCTGAGATCTTTCCATGTGCAGCCCAGAGTCTGTAAAACCATTTAACTGCTAGCTGAATGGAGGGCATGCATGTTGGGAGGACAGGACACTGTTCTGGGAGAAGGCAGATGTGAGTTCTTTCCCCCCACCCCATGTGTGTTGGGCCCGGGCGCTCCTCTCCTGCCTGTCGCCAGTGCCTAGCTTCTGGTGCTGGCAGTGCTCACTCATAGAGACAGGAAGGGGAAAACAATCCAGTTAACCTCATCTAATTAGGATATGAATAACAGTTCAGATAGATTTTTTAAAGTTCCTATAAATACAAACAAAATAGAATCAGTGAAATTATAGATGGTGCCAATATATGTTTCAGACAATTAAAGCTAAGCTATTTTGGGCTAGCAGGTTGCTGTTGCTAACTAGACTGTCACAGCTTATTCTCTTCTCTGCACAGACAAGGCAGTTCAAGGTCAGCCCAGGGTTTTACACTGGCCCTGAGGCCCCAGACTGTAGGACACCGTGAAAAGGTGGACAAGTTGAGGCCTGATGTGGCTGTTTCAAAGTTGGTGCTTCTTTATAAATGGGGTTTCTCATATAAGAAAAACTGTGTGTTATGTACATGTACAGACTGCACACAGAGAGTTACACATGGACTGCAAACATGGACTCAGAAAAAATATTCAAGAAAAGTTTGAACTTAGTTAGCAGTGGGTCAAGGCTCAGAGAGCAGGACGGTGTGACCGCAGTGCATGGTGCAGGGGTCAGACACCGGCACGGCTGGCCTGGAGTGGGACTCCATGCAAGCTGAGCCTTCATTCTCTGCCGCTTCATCTGTCAGCAGGACAGGTGTCTGCTCCACAGGGCGGAGATGAGGCTAGGTGTGCTGAGATGTGCAGACGGCCCAGTACAGGACGGGGAAGCCATTAGTTATGTCTGTGGTGACAGCATCAAGCAGTCATGGAGGCTCTGGAAATGCCTGTGGTAGGGCCACACGAAATGGTGAGGAAATAAGCTAAGGAAAAGGATCTCAGTGGAGCTTAAATATTTTCATGTTTCCGTCACACTGTGATAAAAAGATTCAGAAGCAGAAAACTAAAAGGAAGAATCAAATCTAGCACTAATGTTGAGGTAATGTGGAATTAGAGTAAATAAAGAAACTATAACAATATTTGATAAAAATTTCAAATAAAATTGCTGAAATTAAAAACCTTTACTATCAAAGTCAACAGTAAGTGTGAATGGTACTTTAAGTAATTAGGAGGCACGCATAGGAGTGTGGTACTTAACATGAAATTCTCCTTAATAGTGATGGCAGAAATGGACCCGAGAACGGAAGTTCTACAATCATTTAAAGTGAATTTTATGTAGATACAATGGTCCTATTCAAGTACCCTAGAAGATACATGAAAGTGCATGAATCTGGAAATAGTATAGAAATGAGACGAATTATGTCTTAATTTTATAGCAGTGGAGGAGAATGACTGGGGAAATGGTTTTCCTGCGCAGGAAGGCCACCTTGCTGGTAGTGTGTACCAGCCGTAACATACCAGGCTGGGCCTGGCCGCATCCCCTCTGAAGGAGGAGCTGCTGTGGTGGCAGCTTGCAGGGTCCCTGGAGAGCCTTGTATCCATGGAAACAGGCTCCACTGTCCTTGTGTTGGTGGGACTCACCTGATACAGCACACAGAGCAAGGCAGCTCTGCAGGCAGGATGTCGCAGGCCTCATCTGTACTGGCAGAGCCTTCGGGGCCGTTAGGGTGTCCTGGAGGCAGTAACACCACATCTTCCCTTGGGATAGTCCGATGGTGGCAGCAGTATACAATAGGCCACCGGAAGTACAGAAGACATGAGTAGTGCTCAACGGGTCTTATGGATATTCAAGTTTTATTTCTGAGAAAAATTGTACGGATGTGTTTCACATCTTTATTATGCTGATTTAAACTGAACTTCTCAAGTCTTGATTTGTAGTAATAGGGATACATGGGCAGTGTTGGATATCACTCATTTTATGTTCAGTGATTATGATTGAGTATAGACTACACAGTAATGTTGAAAACGTAGACTATAGAGCCAAACTGCCTGAATTCACATTTTACCCTCCACCACTATCTGTATGACTTTGACTAAGTTATTTAATGTTCCATGCCTTGTTCTTATTCTTTTAAGTATTATTAATAGTAATACCTACCTTGTAGGACTGGTTTCCTGATTAAGTATAGTGCATCACTCTTAAAGTGTGGTGCGTAGTACACAGTCATGTTAGTTGGTGTGTGATGATGATGATGATGATGGCAGGAAAAAAGGAAAAGAAGAATCATTATTTTCAACAGGTAACATGCTCTTGCCAAAGCTCTTGCTGGTCAGGTCTTAACTTGCCTTCAACAGTCTTATAATTTTATCTTTAAGGCAGTCTTGGAAGTGGGGTGAAGGACAGGAAAAAGTGATGTTTTAGTAAAAGCCTAAAAATTGATACAGGTTGTCTCATTTTTGCTGGTCTAGTCAAGTTATATACTAGTCAAGTATATACAAGTTATATACTAGTCAAGTTATATATTATTTTACTATTGCATTCCTTAACAACCTGGATGTACTTCAGCCCTCATTCAAATAGCTCTCCACTTGTGTAGACATAGATAGATATAAAATTCTATCTATAGCTATACACCCAAGCTGAGCCAGGTAATTTCTGTCTTTTCTGTTTTGGATGAGGATCTTTGGATCTTTCCACTGTCTCATGGGAATATAGATACAGAAGATCTATGGTTAAAAACTTGCTAGGTGATAATATGCTTCAAATGTTAGTCTATATTTTTAATTATGA